TTACTGTTGCAATCTCAGTGCTTAGCACAGTGTTTGACACATACTACACAAAGTAGACAGACTGTAAGTATTATTTTGAGTGAATGAATGTGTGATCTACTCAGTTAGGTGGAAGATGGGCAGGGAAGGAAGAGGTCTCTGGTCTGGGTAAAAAGATTGATGGTGCTGTTATCAAAGTGAGAGAGTGGATCAGCTGGCAAGAGGAGTGAAGAGTTAGGTCAGCTTTGTATCTAAGATTCAAATGCTTTTGAGACATCTGAGCAGAGGCATACAAGTCTAGAGCTCGAGAAGAAGAGTTGGTTGGGAAAGATAGATTTCGGATTCATCAGTCTACTGTGGGAGTGGATGACAGTGTTCAGGAAGAGTGGAAGTAAGGAGAAAAAGAGAAGCCTGGAACCCTGGAGACCCTGGAACACCAGCATGTTGGGGTTGATGAAGGAAAAGGAGAATGAGGAAGCATATTCAAGGAGTTAGAAGGAAAACCAAGAGAGCAGTGTCCCTTATGTTAAGGGAGTTTAGTTTCGAGAAAGCCAGAGATGTCTGATGCCACCAGAGGTCCCAGAAGGAGTGAGTGGTCTCTAAAATATCAGCTCTCTGACAGTGGGGATTTTTGTTTTGATCACTCCTGTATCCCCAGACTTAGAACAGCCTAGCACATAGTAACCATCAATAAATTACTATTAAATGAATGAATGAATGAATTGGAAAGAGTCCCTTAAATTTAGTTACAGAGCCACAGGACCTTGGTGAAGCCATTTGCAGAGTGGTGGTAAATGAAGCTAGATCGTAGTGGATTGAGAGAGAGATAGGATGTAAGAAAGTGGCTACAAAGAGAGGACTAAGGATGGCCAACTCCATGAGCTAAGCACTTGAAATTTATTAATGCATTTAATCTTCTCAGCAGCCCAACAAGATAGGAACTGTCATGATTCCCATTTTACAGATGGGGAAACTATAGCTCAGAGAGGGTAATAACTTGGCCAAGCTCTCTCAGCTAGAAAGTGTTAAACCAAGATTTGAATCCAGATCTGTCTGCCTTTGGAGTTCAGCTCCTACTTGCCTAGGCTACATTTCCTCTAGAGCTTCTTTTTGACAGAAGGGCAAGAGAAAGAGGGAGTGTTTGAGATGACATGCAGCTGAGACCAAGAAGATTGCAAATATGTTAGTGGTAATGGGAAAGAATCAATAGAAAGAAATAACTTGAAGACTTTGGGAAAAAGATGAAATAATTTGTACAAGAGGAGTCAGAGGAGAGGTGCAGAGCACAGGTAAAAGGAAACCCCTTCCATCGTGGTTGGGAGTGGCTGAGAAGGTAAAGAAAACCATGTGTTGAAATATTTTTGCCAGGAAGGAGAGGGGAAGAAGGTGGGGAGGATGGGGGTCTGTTCTGACTGTCTGCTCAGAGTTAGGGAGGTAGTGATCAAGTTACAGTCTTGAGGAGAGAGGCATAAGTTTGAAACAGCAGTTGCAGAGAATAGAAAAAAGCAGTGGTGGAGATAGGAGATTTTCAGGGCAGCATCAAAGGCCCAGCCAAGAAGGGAGACCATGATTTTACAGAGTGGCCCATGTTCCGTGATTTTCTCCCTTCCCTCCAGCAGGGCATGGTAGCCAGGGTCAGGGGCACAGAAGGCAGGTGTTAGATTGACCCAGGGTTGAAGGTTTGCCATCTGGATGTGACAGAAGAAAAGAGGCAGGTTGTTGAGAGTAGCAATTGGCTAGGTTGTGTTTGAAGTGATGGGTTGCCACCTCTAGGCCCTCAGGGAAGGAAGTGAGGATGGGAGAAGATGGAGAACAGAAAGAAAATGGAGAGGTAATAGTACTAGAGTCTGGGATTGGCTAGGTTGTGTTTGAAGTGATGGGTTGCCACCTCTAGGCCCTCAGGGAAGGATGTGAGGATGGGAGAAGATGGAGAACAGAAAGAAAATGGAGAGGTAATAGTACTAGAGTCTGGGGAAAGTTCAACAGAGGGACTTTGGTAGAAAGAGGGTCCTTGTTCTCAGAATTCCATGTCCAGAGATGACATGTCTGATGAATAAGCCAAAATCATGCTAAAAAGGGAGTACAAGGGTAGAAAACTAGCCAGTGATGTTATCTATTTACTGAGGGGACTGAGGAAGGGTCCAAAGATACCTTTTTTTTCTTTATTGTAAACACTTCTGTACTGTTTGAATTGTTCCAACTAGTATGTACTATTTTTTAAATTTAAAAAAAGATACAAACTTTTCAACTAACCCAAAGAAAAGAACAGATTTACATGAAAGCAGGGAGATAAACTGCAGAGGCAGGAGTCTGCAGTCGTGGAACAGGACCCTGGAGTACATTATCCACCTGGGGACTCATGGGGTATTAGCTTTGAAGAGCAGTAGCCGGACTCAGGTCCACCCCGCCATTGTTTACAAGGGAGGAAATGGGCGCCCCGAGACTAGCTCAGCGTGGTGTCAGCAGCAGAACCAGAACCAGAACCAACCTTTCCTGATTTCCCAGCCCACTGCTCTGTTTTCCACGCTGCCTCCTGAGCACTTAGGCTTCAGAATTTCCTGCCATCCTAACCAGGCTCATGGCGTGTACGCCCGTGACACTGCTGGGTGATTGGGCTGTTTGCCATACCGTGCTTCCCACATCTCAGTGCTCAGGGTGTGGCTGTGTGTCGAGCTGTACTGTCCCCTGCCTATTTCCTGCTCTCCTCAGAGCTCGGCAATGTAGCAGCATGGAGGTGGAAAACCACAGTGATGATACACTGTTTACATACTTTTAAATGACCCAGCGTCCCTGCTGTTTTGCCAGCTCTCTTGTTGCTGCCTCCCCCAGACCTGCCCTCTCATAGCTTAAGCAGCAGCCATACCTCTGTGTCTACTTCTTTATCAGCCCAAACCCAGATGAGTCACTGCAAGCACTTAGGACATGGAATCTGCACCATGAGATCAGTGCAGAGAGTGAAGGGATTGGAATTCTGGAGAAAGAGCCCTTAAATTAGGAGCATTCTTCTGGGAAAAAAGTGCTTTCATTTCTATCAGATCTTCAAGGAGTCTGTGACTCTCCCTCTCTGAAGACTGCAGACTTAGGAAATGGAGTGCCAGGTGTGTTTTAGAAAAGTAAACACTTCCTGTCTTCCTGTCTTCCAAGTAATAGTTCAGATAAACCTGGTGTTTGTGCAGCCTCTGTTCTTTTGTCATCAGGACAGTGACGATGGTTGCATGTAAATTAGTTGTGATTTCTCCTCATCTGGCAGATTGAGGCCCAGAGGATTAACACTAAAGCTCAGGACTTTTGCCCTCTTTTGGATGGCTGCCTGAGTAGATAGCAGGTGAGCTCTCCACACAATGGTGCTGGGGCACCGTGACATGTGGGGTTGGGAAGGGGGACAATGAGGCAGGGGCTGGGACATAGTTTAAGGAGGGGTATTCTTTTATAGTTTTCTTTATCTGTCCCCTAGGTTGAGTCCTCTTTGGTCTTTGGGATTTGTAGAGAAGGGTTTGTAGAGACAGCTTGTCTGCTTGGGAAGCTCAGGATGACTCCACAGATTCTGCCTTGAGAGTAGCCTTAGCCCCGAAAGCCTGAGTGTCCTTTTATGTTGTGGGGATGAATTTTTAGGGTTTGGAATGGAATTGCGAGTTGACCTGGCTCAAATTTGCCTCAAATTCCCTTCTCCCTGCCAAGTGTAAGCGGGTGTCGGTGTAGGGATAACAGGGTATTTACTAGGAGGGGAAAGAATATGTTTATTCACGATGGCAGGAAAGGACCCCGTATTGGCTTGCTTCTTGGCAGACCTGAGAGCTGAGATGTAGCCAGGTAGTAGTGCTCAGGAGGTTTGAGCAGGCTTCCTTGAGATGGTCTGAAGCTCTTGGGTTCCTTCTGCTTGGAGATGGGTAACATTTGGGATTCTGGTTTGGTTCTGAATTCTCTCTCCTTGTCTTCTGCCAGGCTGTCCTATCCCTGACTTTGTAGTTCCATAGGAAGTCATGGATGTTGTGTCAGTGAGATGCATATAGCTCCAGAAAAGAATAGAGAGGGGGGTTCATTAAGTTGACAGTTGGGGCAGTAAAATCAGAACCACCCTGAAGGTCACAGAGAAGAACTGGTAGGAGGGTAGGAAGAAACAGTGCATTAGTATTTTGGCTTTGCCATTTTTCTGCATAGACTTGGGTCTGTAAAGCTATATTAGATAGTATGTTGGTTCCTACTGGGTGGATTTCCACTGTTGGACAGAAATCTACCTTGGATGGTAAACATTTTTGGGAAGAGAAGGGAGTGAAGCAGGATGGGCTGGTGATCATGTGCCTTCTCTGAGACATCAGCTCCATTATCTCAGGCATTCCTCTGCTGGGAGATCCTCCTGTCATCTCCTCCACCTGCTCACATTAGTTCACGGGTTTTTACAAAATTGGAAACCCTTCATCTGGAGCCCTCAAGAGCAGTACTACTTAAAGTGCCAGTCTGCGGTGAGACAAGAAGCATATGCACCAGAATGTAAAACTGTTCCCTTCATCAAGAAAATGTTGTTATGAAAAAAATGTTAGAACTAGACAATGTGTTTACTCTAACTTAATTGACTTACATTCCGGCATCACATAAGCTTCCTATCTAGTGCCCAACCGGTAATGCAGTTTGCCTATCAGCAGCTAATCTGCAGACCACATTTTGAGCAGCAATGCTCTAGAGCTGCCTCTTGGTCAGAAACAATTGTTGAGAACTTGGAATCACTTGCTTGGCACAGTCCAGGGGAAGCCAGAAATATAAAGCCATGGGTTAGAAGAACTGCCACCCAGATCGTTCATTCATACATGGGTCAGGGCAGGTTACTGGGGTTAAAGGGAGAACAACCAGAATGAAAAAAGTTGAACAGATGACTAGATAGTGGTTATGCCAAGGGTAAATGACTTCCCTTTTACCACAGGCATGTGAGCCAAGGAGCTAGAGCTAAAGACCCTCTTGTAGGATCTTGTTTTGCTGGTTGCTTCTAGTGGTTGGTCAGCCACACTGAGTTTACCCTGTCCTTGCAGGAAAACAGCATGTATTGGAAAAGAATGTGTTGCTTGTCTCTGTGGTCATACCTGGATGTAACCAGTTTCCTTCTTTGGAATCAGTGGAGAATTGTAAGTACCACCCTATTCCCTGTCCTAGAAGAGCCAGCATTTATGTGGAGCTATAACTCTGGATGGATAGCCTGGCCAAACTGCCGATGCTTGGCCTGGAGTCCCCCATGACCTTGGGGACCAAGGGTCACCAAATGCCAAGAGCCATAGCAAATGAGTTTTTCCTGTGCAGAATCTCTAACCAGTGTCTGAAGATTGATTGCTGAATGTCACACTGGCTATTCAATGAGTCCCACAGGACACCTGCTTTCTGGACTGAGTTCATTTCTGTTTTAGCAAAGTGCACACTTTGCTGATTTTCTCTAAGAGACCCTACATTGGGGAGAAAAGGGTTTTTAGTCATTTATACTGAGATGAAGCTAAGTCATTAGTCCTGTGACTGCCTCCTGTCTGCCCTGAGCAGCAGTATTTGGGCTTCTCAGTCTCCAAAGTGAACATTTGAGTCTTGGCTTCTTCCTCACAGTCTTGAATGAAGTAGCTGTAGCCTAGAGAAGAAGGGAAAGGAGGGTGATTACAGAGGCTTTGGGAGCATTGTATCCTGGACTTGCCTCTCCAAGCATCCCTCTTCTCTTTGCCAATAGATTTCATTTCATACTTTCAGCTAAAGGCTGGTAGGGTTTCATGTTTCTGGTGGGGGAAACTGATCCACAAGATGGATGGTGCTTTGCAGAGAACTCTGCTCTAGCCCAACCATCATATATTCTCTTTCAGGGCCTGCAGAGGCACTGTGGTGACCATCCTTCCAATCTGGCCCCAGGCCTGGCCATCCTACAGCTGTCCTGTTCTGGGGATGTCTCCTCTTTGAAAGATGAAAAAAAAAAAAGTGATCTTGCTAGCTTTTTTTTTTTTTTTTTTTTTTTTTTTCCTAGGATTTATATAGGACATCTGGTCTATAATCTGAGAATAGAAAACCTTAACCAAATGGAATCATTTTTGTCATTTCAGACACCTTGACCATAAATGATGACCAGTGTTTACTCCTCTCTTACAGTGTCTGGGGAGCTCTCCGAGGTAACAAGGTGGGGCTGATGCTGGGACAGAAAGAGAGGCGGGTGGGAAGGAGGGAGGAGAAGGGTTGATGTGGGGAGATTGGCATTGGTGGGGTGGGAGGACAGGACTGGGGGCCCAATGAATACTCACACTTCAGGAAGCTTTCTGCTTTATAGAGACCAACTGGAGTGTTTCCCCATCTCCTTATAGCCGTTCCTAGAAGTTGACAGGCTTCACCCTGTGCAGTGGCAGCAGCTCCCTTGGGCAGGTGCTCTGGGGACACAGTAGGAGAGTCTGCAGGTTGATGCTTAGGGCTCCATCAGGGGGCAGGTGGCTGGGGAGAGGAGACTGACACTGCCACAAATGCTGCCTGTCCAGCTCTCACAAAGGCACATAATTGGGAAGAGTCTTCAAAAAGGAAAACTATAACAAAAGAAATACATAAATGTAAAAAAGACAATAAAAGGGTAAATAGTAGTAAAATATGTAGAACTATATTATTTCTGGAGAAAATGAAGAGTTTACTGGCTAACAGGTGATATGACCCCACCTTCCTCTTGGTTTGCCTAAAAGGTGTTTGGTCCCTAGATGCAGACTTAGCCAAGTACCTCTCCTGCTTTTGGTAGAACCTCTGCTGGTGAATAGTGAAGCCAGTTCTCACAGAATTTCACACCTTGCTTTAGTTTGTGTTTATCCCCTTGTTCCTACTCTTTGCTTTGGAGAAAGAGCACGCTGACTCCCCTTACTGCCCTCTTGAGTTTTTTGTGCAGGTGCTAATGATTAGTCAGGATGGGGGTGGGGGTAATCTGGGACTCCAGAGGACTTGGTGTCAGAGGCAGAGTGGGGAGAAGCGAAAACACTGCATTGGCAGTCTGCTTCAGACTAGGTGCTGAGTTACCACTAAGGTCTCGTGGAGTCTTTCATTTTGAAATTTTAGGACTCTGGGAATCCTTCATGGGGCTTCTGCTGAGTTTCTCAAAGTGGGGCTCTAGCTGTTGAGTGCCTGTCATGCTCTGGACTCAACACACTTGTGCTTGAGCCTTCCTGGACTCCAGGAGACTGTGTCAGGGGACTGGGGCAGTCCTTCCAGGGCAGTTACTGCCCACCCCAACTCAGCTCCCTGTAGCTGGGTCTCTTCTCAAGCTCTGAAGAGGAAGCGTGGATGCTTCCTTGTCTCCTAGGTCCAGCTATGGACCCCACCTCCTCGGAAACTCAAGATTATGATTACTTCCTCACAATTCAGTCTTGGAGAAGTGAAGGGGTTACATATGGGGGGACCCCTTTTCTCAGCACCCTTAGTTCCTGCTGGGTTTTATCCATGGAAAGCCTTAACCCCTTGCAGGCTGGTTTGTCCATGAATCTGTTCTCATAAGCACACATCTTGGCCTCTCTTCTGAATGATCATGGAAATAGGATTACGGGTATGTGGGTTTGGAAGGTTAGTATGTTGCTAGGAGGAGCAACTCCTTAGACTACCACCTCCCCAAATAAAATGTGGAGTAAAAATGGGTACTGGCTTCCTAGTATCCCCTTTTCATAAGTGTTCAGAATCCTCAGGCCTACACTACATCCATTTCCACCATGTGCCCAAACATGCTGTGCCATGTTAAGACCCTTCCAAATGCATGCATCTCTTTTCCCACTGCCTGAGTCTTTACTCTGCCTCTCTACTTCTCCATAGGCCTGGAGACTTTTAGCCAACTTGTTTGGAAATCTGCTGAGGGCACGGTGAGTGTGGACCCTCAGCGAGGGCTCCTTCTTAATCTTTGGGGTTTTCTGTCAATATTGAGAGTACTGGAAAAATCTCGTTTTGCCTTAGACAGAGTCTTGGTGGCTTGAGGTTGCCCCAACAGGAGTATAGGAGGAGATATGGGTAGAAAACTGGTTTGGTAGATTTGGTCTAAAGTCACCATAATTTGGCTCCCCTGAGTCATTATGTAGTAATGACCTTGAGGCCACACTGCTTTGAAGACAGTAAACATGTAAACAGTCAGGAATATCCAGAATTTGTAGGCTGAGTGATGTATGGGACAGTTGTATTTGACTGGCGTGGGACAATTGCTCTCTGGACAGGTGGCTGCTTATGGTCATTGATATTGAGTGGGAGGGGAGTTTAGAGAGATTGTTAACCTGCAGAACCTGCAGGCACAGATTTTCAGCGATCTTGGGAGAGTTTTCCTCATCCCCCAGTGCCCCCATGGAAAGCTCCCTTTAAATCGTGATATGCTCAATGTTTGGTCTGCACAGTTCTTTATCAACAAGACAGAGATTGAGGACTTCCCCCGCTTCCCTCACCGGGGCTTGCTGTTGGATACGTCTCGCCATTACCTGCCGCTGTCTAGCATCCTGGACACTCTGGTACTCAGGCCTTAAGGCCTTCTTCGCTGGGTTGGGGCAAGGGATAGACCAAGTTACAAATTCTTAAAGAGTTAGAGAGAGAATATATGTAACTCTAGGAGCTCCTGGGAAAAATGTAGAAGATGACTTGCTTTAAATCTCAGAAATTAACAGATGTCTTAAATCTACTCCACTGACTACTGCGCACCAATGTCTAGGCTGTTTCCAAAGATACAGAAGGTGTTGTGGGGAATTGGCTTCTTCGGTCAGGCAGAGCTAGGTTTAGTATAGTTAGGTCAAGGTTATAGGAAAGAGTGTTCAAAGCCTTAGCTGGGGAGCTTCCTAGCTCTCATGAGTGTGATGTGCAGTCTTATCTGACAATTGCTAATCCAACTCATGTGTCTGCCTCTTTCTTGTTGCTCTGGTGCACTCAAAGAAGCCAGTGCATCTACAGCCTTGACTTCTGAGATTATGAGTTATGGGGCTACTAAATTCCCAGCAGGCCTCACAGTTTGGGTAAACACCAATCAGATAACTCAACACAAATAGCAGGAGGCAGTGTTGATCTTCAGGCTATTTGGGGACTTTTGGAAGACTCCAGGGTACCACAGTAGCTGCAGCCCTCCTCTCAGCATGGCCAGAATTCAACTTAAAAGAGGAGATACTGCTTTTGTCAGCCATCCTTGGATGTGTCCTGGGAAGAGAACAAATGCGCTGGGTCTTCCCTCCATGCCAGGCACTCCCTGATGGGAAGATTTGATAGATCTTATGAACACTTCACTGGAAGCTGGGGCAGGTTGAGCCTGGTGGGGTGTGTGGAGTAGCCTGCCAGCCTGCCCAGCTTCCCAAGTTTGAGGCTGAGACTGGAGAGGCCATGGTGGATTCACAGTGTGTGCTCTGACCCACAGGATGTCATGGCATACAATAAATTCAACGTGTTCCACTGGCATCTGGTAGATGACCCTTCCTTCCCATATGAAAGCTTCACTTTTCCAGAACTCACCAGAAAGGTATGTCTCAATTTCAGACCAAGATTACAGGTCAATGTCTGAGCTTGGCTGTAGCCCTGATAGCAAGGACAGTGGCTCTCATCTTTACCAAGCCAGTTTGGCAGACACACTGACATGGAGGAAGGACACTGACTTTGGAGTCAGGAGACGTGAGTTCAAGTCCAAACTTTGCCATTAATTTGCTTCATGATCTTCAGGAGATAATCTCTCCTGATCTCATTTTTTTTTATTTATATATATTCTGTTAAATGGGCATAATACCTGCCTTGTTTATTTCACTGGCAGTGTTATGCTCAGATAGATGTGATAAATGGTAGGAAATTATGATAAACTTTGTTGAAGATAGTCCCTGATAGCGAAGGGATATGGGCAGGTTTTCTGATATGTGGGGAGTACTGGGGGCATGTTTAAGTATCTTCTACTCTGCTAGCCTTTGGGAAATGAGAACCCAAATGGTGCCTTGTGCCTTTCAGGGGTCCTACAACCCTTCCACCCACATCTACACTGCTCAGGATGTGAAGGAGGTTATTGAGTACGCACGACTTCGGGGTATCCGTGTGCTGGCAGAGTTTGACACCCCTGGCCACACTTTGTCCTGGGGACCAGGTAAGAATAATGTCTAGGATTGGAGGGAGTCTGGTGACCATCCTCAGAGTAGGGCTTCAGGGCACTAGCTCTTGGATGTGGCATGTCCCAGCCTTGGTCCCTGGAAGAATGATTTTCATCAACTTCTTCCACCTGGGAATTTATATAGGAAGAACCTACTTTGGGCAAAGAAGGCCACTTCTTACTATTAATGTGGGCAAATTCTTCTAAGATGCCCTTGTGGTGGTTGTGCCCTAGAGTAGATGCTGAAGAATCTGACTCCCAGGGTAGAATCTGAAAGTAGCCCATGGTGCCTTCCAGATGACCTCTGGAGTTGGACAGTCACTCTTCTGCTCACTCACTTTCTTCTGTATACCCCTAGCCCCTCAGTGTGATTTCCCCAGTCTGAGCCCGAAGAATCTGACTCCCAGGGTAGAATCTGAAAGTAGCCCATGGTGCCTTCCAGATGACCTCTGGAGTTGGACAGTCACTCTCCTGCTCACTCACTTTCTTCTGTATACCCCTAGCCCCTCAGTGTGATTTCCCCAGTCTGAGCCCCAAAGCTGGCTAAAGGAAGGTTGAAATAGGCTCCTGGCCTTGTAGGAAACCAAAGATGCTTTGTGGCCTCAGTCTCAGGAGGGAAAGACTCTGGGTCCAGGGAGATGCCCCTTAGGAACCGTAGAAGTATTCTGGGTGATGGTTGACCCCACAGATCGGAAGAGATAGGGAAGAAAGATTTTGCCAAATTGGCTGGATCAGGCTCTCCCTCAGCTTTTCAGCCTAAAGCTGGTATAACAGCCTTTGGGAGCAAGGGTGACTCCTGCTGGAAGCAGTGTGTCAAGGCAGGAGCATATGCACTGACAATTGTCTGGCTGTAACTCAGTCTCTGTCTGTGATTTTGGATGTATTTGTGTTTCTTTGTAACTAAACGGTGATGATTATTAGTGTCTGTGAGTGCCTGGGTATGCCTACTTAGATGTGTGTAATGTTTATGAACATGATTGTCTTACTCTATGTGACTTAGCATCATTACATGTAGGACTGTGCATGCGGGCCCTTGTATTTGTGACACTTGTGTGGGGTTCTCTATTGGCTTAGGTATCCCTGGATTATTGACTCCTTGCTACTCTGGGTCTCAGCCTTCTGGCACCTTTGGACCAGTGAATCCCAGTCTCAACAATACCTATCAGTTCATGAGCACATTCTTCTTGGAGGTCAGCTCTGTCTTCCCAGATTTTTATCTTCACGTTGGAGGAGATGAGGTTGATTTCACCTGCTGGTATGAGCCTTTTGACCTTCCCATCCCAGCCTGAAGAATTGCTTATTCAGAATAGAGGTTAGCATCTGAGGGCTCACCTGTCTCAGCTGCGGCTCACGGGCTAACCTCTGAGACAACAGTCTAACTCAGTTCACATTGCTCAAAGGTCTTGGGCATTTCTCTCTCCATCTACAGAGAGACCCTACCTGATTTTGGCAAGGCTGTCATTGTAAACCTGTCCTTTCCTCTTATCTTATATCCTTGAGATATTTATGGAAAAATCAGCTCTGGGCACAGAATTGGCTTAGAAAAATCCAAGATGGAGAAAAATAGTCCCTCTTTATGAAGGCTTAAAATAATGTGGTTGAAGAGTCAAGACAGAATTCAAGATTAATACAGGACTAATTAGTACTAAACTGTGAAGTCCAAACCCTCAGATCCAGTGAGCTCAAAAGAGGTTGAGGGGCTTCTTTGAAACGTGGGCACTAGAGCTGGAACTGGGGAAATAGTCTGGAGACATGAGGAGGGGAAAATGTTCCAGAAAGAGAGTAATGTGAACATAATGCAGATGTTGCAAGGCAAGGGATTTGCAGCTTCAATAGTCAGCAAGGCATGTCGTCTGACTGGAACAACAGACAGAAAAGCCAGGATCCCATGTGCTGGAGTGCCGAGCTGAAACCTCAGATTCACATGTTATAGTCCAGACAGAGGATTAGTAGGTGTTCTCTTTGGGAGTTTGAACTTAAAACTCTTCAGGCCCAGACATACATGTTCTTAGCCTGTGTCCAAGGCTCCCTTCACATAGCTTTGCTCAGCCACACCTTCCACATTTAGAGCTTCTGAGATCCTCAGTTGTTTGGTTTTTCAGGTGAAAAGAGGAAGTTGTGGGAGGCCAGGTGACTAATCACCAGGCTTTAGATTTTCAGGATGTTGAAAGAATTGTCTTCATTTTCTCTTGGTATTCAGGAAATCCAACCCAGATATCCAGGCCTTTATGAAGGAGAAAGGCTTTGGTGATGACTTCAAGCAGCTGGAGTCCTTCTACATCCAGACGTGAGGAAGGAAGGAGGGTGGGCAGTGTCCCTTGGGGGTCACCTCCTGTGGGGTCCTCACTTTCCCTATCAGGGCCATGCCCTGCTTGACCACTGTCTGGGTCCCTGAAGCATTCCTTTGTCCTATCCTTTTGGAGTGGTCAGTTCCTAACCCTGGGGAAGACACTGTTCAATCAGGAATAGGCCCCTGGCCAGGCTCCACCCCTAGAATTCTGGCACAAAAAGCCTCAATCCTTTCCGAGCTGAACAGACACTTTCTTGACACTCCTCTCCTCTCCAGGCTGTTGGACATCATCTCTTCTTATGGCAGGGGCTACGTGGTGTGGCAGGAGGTGTTTGACAATAAAGTAAAGGTGAGCCAAGAGCAGAGGAAAGAAGCAGCCACCAGCGGTGCCTCTCTTCTCTCCCCAGCCCTCCCCAGCCCTCCCCTTCCCCTGCAGGGACTGATTTTCCTGGTTTGGACTAGGCTTTAATGGTCAGAGCAGTTAGGGCCATCTCTCTCTCCCCTCTAGAAAGGCCACAGAGATGTGAGCCCTGGGTTTCGGCATCAGAGCCTCTCTCTGTCCTTGCTACAAACTGATCAAGAGTTATTTCTGCTGCTAGGTTGCTTGGGATTCCTGAGACTTGACACAGTGGTCTGGGTTTCCCTCCCTGAGCCATAGACTGGGGTCTTCCTGGCCTGTAAGAGCATGGCTACCTTCTTCACTGTTGATCCTGTCACATGCAGGAGCTCTGCACAGGAGCCTTGTCCCATCCCTAGAAACATTTGGAGCCTCTTAGACATAGCAGCTCCTGGGCCCCACTGCTTGCCTCCCTCAGCTCCCACAGCTGGTATTGCTGTCTCTGTGAGGACAGGGAGTCTGCAGTGGGGCCTGGGACAGGAGATCAGCAGGAAGAGCTCTCTCAGGGCCTGTGGACTCCTCAGCCTCTGTGCTGGGGTGTGAGCTCAGGGGTTAGCAGTCCTAGAGACACACTTTGCTGCTGGGGAGCATCAGAGCACACCCTTGGCCTGGGTTGCCTGCCTGAGAATGAGATCTGGGACTCTCCTCAGCCCTGTGCCATTACTGCCATTGGACCTTTGTGACAGGTTCGGCCAGACACAATCATACAGGTATGGCGAGAAGAGGTACCAGTAACCTACATGAAGGAGATGGAACTGATCACCCAGGCCGGCTTCCGGGCCCTGCTCTCTGCCCCCTGGTACCTGAACCGTATAACGTATGGCCCTGACTGGAAGGACTTCTACCTAGTGGAGCCCTTAGCATTTGAAGGTGAAAGCAGGGAACTGTTCTCACTCACCAAAGGAGGCTGGACTGGGGCACAGGGTGGGAGGCAGGAGGGACTGGGCTGCATGTTTCAAGTTAGGAAATGAAATGACCTATCTGAGGAGAGGACCACCTTGGGGAGAGGGACTGAGGGGAGCCCTGGAGTTACCCCACCACTACCAGCCTGTTGCTTGTTTTCCCTCAGGTACCCCTGAGCAGAAGGCTCTGGTGATTGGTGGAGAGGCCTGTATGTGGGGGGAGTATGTGGACAGCACAAACCTGGTCCCCAGGCTCTGGTAAGGGTTTTCTGGGGGAGGTGGAGGGTTGGGTTGGAGGGCAGGAGTTCTCCCCCACAAACTCAATCCCATCCAGCCATCTTCAGACTAGTACCCTCCTTTCAGCTGGAGAGAGAAGGGACATCACAGCGACCTCTCTGTATTTGATACTCACTTCCCACATGACTTCCAGGGGTGTCCCTCCAACAACCCATTAGATGTGTAGGATAGGGAGGGATTATTACCTCCACTTCACAGATGGAAATAATGAGGCTTGGAGAACACAGGTGACTTGCTCAGGATCCAACACGGAGAGTCCATGGTTCCTTTAATAAGACTTCCCTATGCCATTTCCTCAGCAGCCTCACTAAGCACAGTTGTGTGTGCAAAGTTTACATTTTCAGGATACCTACTGCTGCTGCTGTCAGTACCATTGATGATACCTTTAAGGCTTATTCTTGTTCTCATACCTTTGGGAGAGGAGGAGAGTGGGATCTTTATCCACATTTTAACAAAGATGGAGCTGAGCCCTAGGACTCCTAAGGAGCCATCCAGCCAGGCTGTCACTCTGAAAAAGGTGTTTGATCACTTTCCTTGACCCTGAGCTAGTCCACAGGGCCTAAACAAGAGGCAGTAGCCTGTGGATGTCCAGCACCTTTTCAGGGAGTACAGGGCCCAACCTGAAGCGTGTCACCTTCCTCCAGGCCCAGAGCAGGGGCTGTTGCTGAGAAGCTGTGGAGCAGTGAGTTGGTATCTGACCTGAAATTTGCCAGTAAACGTTTGTCAAGCTTCCGCTGTGAGTTGCTGAGGTAAGCGGGCTCTGGAGTGGGTGGGGCAGATCCAGGGCCTGGGACTTCTTACTGAGAGGAAAAGAATGATAACAGTTTGAGTTGGCCCTTCAAATCTGCATCTGCAGATTCAACCAACTGTGGATTGAAAATATTTAGACAAAACAACAATAGCTAGGAACAGAGGGCTAAGTAGGCCAAGATGAGGTGAAATCAACCGCATCTCCTCCAAAGTGAAGATAAAAATCTGGGAAGACAGAGCTGACCTCCAAGAAGAATGTGCTCATGAACTGATAGGTATTGTTGAGACTGGGCACCCCTCAGGCATCTACTTCTTTTCTAAAGGGACTGAGTTTTGGGGGGCTGGGCACAGAGACAGGCAGGATAGAAATAGGGAGGTTATTCTCCAAAATTCCTGGGTCTGTCTGTATCAAAATCACACAGTGTACCTGTTCAAAATGAAGATTCTTGCCAATACTGTGCCCCACCCCAAGTGATAATCTCTTGAAGTGAGATCTCCAAGTAACTTTGACTACAGTGACAATTTGAGATTCATTGAAATGGGAAGGGGAGACCATTGACTGTGGTGGAGAAGTTGGTGCTGGGACCTAAGATTGACTGACCTGAAGGGCTTATCTTGCCATTTCTTCATGTGTCCTCTTGCAGGCGAGGTGTCCAGGCCCAGCCCCTCAATGTAGGCTACTGTGAACAGGAGTTTGAACAAACCTGAGCCAGCAGCCCCAGTCACCGAGGAGGGTGCTGGCCCTAGGAGAGTGGTAGTGGGGCCAGGCTTCCACTGCATCCCCGCTGGGGGACGGAGCCCCTTGCCCACGTGACCCATGCCTGGAGAGAAGGAGGCTGGTGCTGGCACTGGTATCCAATAAAGAGTGATGTGGAACTTGGATTACCTGTGTAAAAAAAAATGTGAATGGCCCTAGAGTGAGGGAGCAGCCAGGACTGGCCTTCTGCTCTCGAGAGTGATAGAGCTCAGCAGGCCCATCCAGGTTGGGCTCAGTATCTGCCCCTGGAGGAGCCTTATATGCTGAGGGCTGGAAAGGAGAACAGGAGCCTTTGTGCTTCTCTACTCACCCATGAGTTGACATCACTCCTCTTCCACCTTCAGACGTATTCCAGACACCTATCCCCATCCTCAGCCTGGTCACTTCACTTCTGCAGGAGTTCTGGACAGTGGAGAAGGCTCCAGACCCAACCTGGTCACAGCATAGCCCATCCCCCAGGCACACTCACACGCTTCCCTACCCTCGAGCTATTCTTCTCCTTTGGGTTTCTTGCTACCTCAGTTTCATACGGCCATCATGTGAATATTATTGAATACGTATTGTGGTCTAGACACTGGTAAAGTGTTGAATTTGAAGGGCTTGTTCTTCAGAGGCCTTGGTCAACTCCAAAATAACGCAGGCAACCTCTACCCGCCCCCCCCCCCCCCCCCACTTCCACCCATTTTTAGCCCAAAGCATCTTCTCAGGGAACAGATGGCACAGCTGAGGCCATGAGAACAAAGCCTCCAAGGAGCAAGGAGGTGCAGGTGGCTCAGGAACAGGGTCTTTGCCCATGTGACCTGCTTTCTTCAGGAGGAAATGTCCCATTGTGGGCCCAGACTGCCCCCTGGTGGTTTCATGTGCAGAAATGACAGTGTAGCCAGAGGCTGGGGCAATAGTGGACAGCAGCCATCTTGGATAAAGATGTCTTGACCATTATTTGTTAAATTCTTTGTCTGGTCCTGGGCTGGGAGGACAATGGAGAGGTCCCAGGCATTTCTTTCAGAAAGCTTCCAGTGTGGCGGATAGAGAATCTTGGGAAAGGCAGGCCTGAGAAGGTATCTAAATAAAACTTGGTCCTTAAACACCATCCTTCGGTCTCTCCATTATGTTTTTTGGGGGGACCTGGTTGGGGTTAGACCTTGCTATCTTGTGCTATTTATGTAGGGACAGGTTGGGCACCTTCTACCAACAGAATTCTCAAGATTTTCACACAGCTCGGCATAGCCTGTCCTAGAGAGACATGAGCTAAGTAAGCCTCCACCACCTGCACCCACCAAAAGATCCCTCTTACCTCTGTCACTCAGAAGCCCATGGGGTGGTCCCAGCCATGGACCCTGCAGAAATGCTGCAACACTTCAAATGTCCCTCCTTCCCTCCTGATCATAACTTTCATGTTGCTATTGTTTGGGATAATGTTAAATAAAAAGAGCAGACCCTAAGCTGTAAATCTCAAGTCGATGAAGGAAGAGGCCATGAAGATATTTAAAGCGGGAAGGATCTGTGATTTCTTATTCCTGCTATAAACATTTTCTTTAAATGTTATTATTTTTACCACTTAAAAAAATTAATGTGGCCTGGCCAAGACCTTCAGTGTTAGGGTGTGCTGTTCCTCGACTACATTGCTCCTGGGGTCCATTGATCATGAGAGCAATTACCTGAAGATCATCAGACTCCCAGCTACTGACAGGTGAGAGGCGGTAGCCCTCAGCGACTGCCCAGTCTGTTCCCATGCACAGAATCACTGTTTTCCCACCTCTTCTCCCTTCACCCGGGCTGTGAATTTAGAGCCCCACCCTGTGCAGGCCCAGACTACTCACGTGAGTTTGTCTTCTCTGTGTACCACCCAGGTGATGGGCAAGTGCCCAGACTAATGTCCTGGTTCCAGTCGTCCTAGAAACAAAGAGCCCTCACCCAGCCCCTGCTCTCCTAGGAATCTACTAAGGAGGCAAAGCAGGCCTACTGGGTATAAGAGTAACGGAGTGAATGGAGGCTGGGAGAATGTTTGGCCTCCCCCTCTTCTTGGAGGTTGAGGCTGCGTGCTAGGTACTCTCCCTTCTAGGAATCTGACAAAGTGATGTCACTGTGCTTTCTGGTGCAACTCAGTGGATTGCCCTAGGGATAGGATATCGGGACTTGGGAACGCAGGTGCCACCACAGCACCAATGATGTAGAGCCATTGCTCCTAGATTTCTGGGACAGCGAGGGTGTGAGAGGCTCAAATGATACTGGGAAAGGGTGAAATAAAGGATATAGGCAAAACTTATTTTTTACTAATGTGGATGCACATACCTTGTAGCAACATTTCTAGCACTCTGAAGTCTAGATTTGTATAGTAGTTGTCAATATCTTTTGTAAGATTAATCAATTCAAGGCATGACAAATGTGTATCATATATTTTTTTCCCACTGAGAAAATAAGAAGGAATTGGGTGTTTTGTTTATTAAAACCGTTCTGTATTTTTTCCTTTATAAATAAACTCTGAAAAGTTGAAAGTTAGTATCCTTCCCCATACTGTTACAGATATATGAACAACATATAAATACAAATTATATAATTTCAGTGGGTTATTTGTTGAATTTTTTCACTACTATTTACACTAACTATATATGAACCCTCACAGTCCTCACAATTGTTTTTAAATATCCTTTTGAAGCAGTCCTTGTGTGTGTGTGTTTCTGCATTGTTCAAACTTTTTAAAATTAAAATGTCCATGAGCCTTGTTTTTTTCCCACAGTAAGCACTGAACCCTCACAGTCCTCACAATTGTTTTTAAATATCCTTTTGAAGCAGTCCTTGTGTGTGTGTGTTTCTGCGTTGTTCAAACTTTTTAAAATTAAAATGTCCATGAGCCTTGTTTTTTTCCCACAGTAAGCACTGTACTCTAACCACATACATGTTATGTCTTCCCTACCCCAGTAAATACTCTTATTTTTTAATGATTTCAAATGTTACAAACAGAAAAGTGTAGAGAATAAAATAATAAACGGTAAAACTACCCAGCTTTATCACATGTCAATAGTCATATTTGCTTTAGATTTTTTTTTAAGAGATGAAACATAAATGTCTCCCTTCCTGGTCCAATTCCCTTCCTTCCCCCAAAATAACTACTTTCTGGAATTAATTTTAAATCTCTTTTCCCCGGAGTATCTGATACTTAGCTGTGATTTTTCTTCATTGTTAATAAACTCTTTATGGCTCACTTTATAGCACATTAGAAGGGGTCATTTTGGAAGCCACTCAAGAAAAGGAGTGCATGAGAGGAGGCAGAGCTGCTGGCGGCAGACCTGGTGGGAAGAGGGTTTCTGCTCTGCTGGGTGCTGCAGAGTGGGAGTAAGTGTGTGGCTGCGTGTCTGGATAATCCATTATGAAGGAGAGGGTATTTGAACATAGAAATTCAGAGTCAACTGTTAATATTTATCCAGACTCACATAAGTCAGAACTCTGAATGAAGGTACACATAGAGATCCAGCTAGGGGAAAGGGACAAAAGTGCTTCTTCATTTTTATGAGCTTACTGCGCAGGCACTTTTTAAGCACTTTACTGAGAGTTAACTTATTTAATCTTCATCCCAGTAGGTATCGGTATTACCCTCATTTGACAGATGAGGAAACAGACATGGAAAGGCTAAGTGACTTCTTTATGGTTACACAGCTACGCCGAACCAGGATTTGTCCTCGGGGACGATGGCTCCAAGCTCAGCTAGTTAACTCTACTCTCTAGTGTAGCTGGCCATCGGCCACTGCTATGTACCACACTAGGCATCTTCCTGCTCTTGGACACACATACACACCTAGTCATAAAGCTGGGGACTCAACTATATCTAGACTTGAGTCTATTTCCTCCTCTATCTTTAAACAAATAAAATTAAAACCTCTCCATCCTGCTTTACTCAGTCAAGTTGCCTGAAACAGTTGCAAGTTTGTCTCCATTTCTTCACTTTCCGTTCTGGCCTCAGGACCCTGCAATTAGGCTGAAGTCCTCACAAGGGCCGCTGTCACCAAGGCAAACAGTAGCCTACCTGTTGCCAAATCAAGGGACATTTCTCATTAATTAGTAAAACATCACTTGACCTTACCTCCTATTTTGAGATTTTGATCATTCCCTCTTTGAAATTCTTCCCAGACTTAGTGACACTGTTCTTTCCAGAGCTTTCTCCCACAGCTTTCATCACCCTTTCTCAACCTCTATCACTGACTCCAGTAAACTCCCATCCCACAACCAATCATGTTTCTAAAGGTTTATCTTCTTTCCTCTTCTCTACTTTCTTCTAAGTGGTCTCATTTACACTTAGACAAATCTTCAGCTATGTGTCTCCGTGTGTGTATGTCTCCTCTGAACTCGAAACTCAGGTAGCCAACATCTACTTCATAGCACCTGAATGTCCATCACATACTTTAAACTCGTGTTCCAGGCAGAATTTTCTTTCTTCATTGTACCCTACTCCGCTCCTTATGCCACTATTCCACTAGTCACTATAGCCAAAATCTGGAAATCATCTTTAACTCCTTCCTATCATAATTGTCACCAAGGCATGCCCAATCTATATCAATAACCCTTAGATCCATTTATGCCTATCTACACTGCCGCTGTCTTTGTTTAGGCTTAATGCATCTCCCCTGAACTTAGAATAGGATCCTAACGGATACACCCGCCTCAAGTCTTTCAGAACCATCTTTTTAAACTGCAAATCAGATTATGTCACTTTCCCGCTTTTAATTTCTCAAAATCACCCCATTGTCCAATTTACTCAGCAGGGCATACCAGTCTTCCCCTTCAACATGATGTGTCTCTTGAGCTCTCTATAATCATTTCCTAACACTCACCTGCATTAGTTGCAAGGGAATAACTGAAACTGCTTTAAGCAAAAAAGAACATCATATCATGTTACACATCTCCACATATACATTCAATTTTTGACTTATGTGAGTCTAGATAAATATCAGCATGCCTCATATAACAATAATATGCAATTAGATGATCCTAGGAATAAATCTAATAAAAGACATATAAAAACTTCATGGAGAAAATTATCAAAATTTTAGAAAAACACGAAAGAC